TTGAAACAATCAAGATAGTTGTTGGTCTAGCAAACATGAACAATTGGTATATGTGTCAGATGGATGTGAAATGTGTATTTCTAAATGGCCCCTTAGATGAAGAAGTTTATGTTGCACAACCATTTGGGTGTGTGAAACAAGGCGAAGAAAGAAAGGTGTACAAGCTGCATAAAGATATGTATGGACTTAAGTAAGCTCCAAGAGCTTGGAATAAGAAGATATATAGATTTCTAAGGGAGAAAGAATTTGTAAAGTGCTTATCTGAGCAAGGAGTATATGTAAGAAGAAGCAAAAGTGAATTGTTTATACTATGTCTCTATGTCGATGACCTGTTGATAATAGGAAGTTGCAAGAATGAGATAAAAGATTTCAAACATGACATAAGCAAAGAGTTTGAAATGTCAGACTTGAAAAATCTCTCATATTTCCTTGGCATCGATATCTATGATAGTGGTAGAGGTTTGATGATACATCATAGAAGATATGCAGGCGAAATACTTAAGAGATTTTAGATGCAAGATTGAATCCCAACTTCGACTCCAATTGAGTTCAGAATGCAACTGCCGAAAGACATAAGTGAAGATGATGTCGACCAACTCTGTACAAAAGACTTATTGGGTCATTAAGATACCTTTGTCACACAAGACCTGATCTAATATATAATGTATGTATAGTGAGTAAATTCATGCAGAAGGCAAAAGTATCACACCTAGCAGTGACGAAGAGGGTAAGGTATCTAAAAGGAACTCTTGACTATGGAATTATATTTCGTGCAGCTGATGAAGGAAAAAAATGCAAGTTAGTGGGATACACTGACTTAAGTAGGTGTAGTGACATTGAGGATAGAAAATCCACAACTACCTATGTGTTTATACTAGGTGATGCACCAGTTGTTTAGAGTTCAAGAAAGGAGCCAGTAGTGACATTTTTGTCGTGCGAAGAAGAATACATAAATGTTTCTCTTTGTGCATGTCAAGGAACATGGAGTAATTACCATGAAGATCGAAAACATGTCATTTATCGATATGGCGAAGAATTTGATAGTACATGGAAGAATCAAGCACATCGAAATGAGGTTCCACTGTCTTCGAGAGCAGGTAGCAGAAGGGAAAATGTACTTGTAACACTGCAGAACTGAGAATCGAATTGCAGATATCATGACGAAAGGAGTGCAAGTCGAAGTGTTCAAGAAGCTAAGGTCTATGATGAATATAGATAACTTAGACCCAATGAATTGGGTGGTGTGTTGAGAATGTAATTCCTTGTGTCAAAGTAGGTAGTGCTCGACAGAAACAAGGATGTGTCAAAACTTGTAGTGGGTGTTGAGTAGCATTAGATGTCGAAGTGTCCAAGCATGTTGCTTGACACATGATTTTGACTTAGACCAAAATATGTATTTCGGGCTTTAACTTAGGGAGCAAGCTAACTCAATTATAAATAGAGAGTAACCCTATTATAAATTATAACACACAACAAAAAAAGCAATTGCACAGTTGAATAATATTTTCTTAGTTTGAGAGCAGAGAGTTACTCTGAATAAGTCATCTTCTTCCCTAATTTTTGTCAAACCCTAATCTTCTTTCTTATTCAATTTTCTTTCTTCTTCCATTAACAATTATTGCGCAAAATCATTCTTACAATCAAGGTGTGATTGATTCGCTCAAGTGAAGAGTGAAGAACAAGGATTTTTGATCGGTTGATTAAATCTTGTTCATCAAGATTTATTCAAAATTCTCAAAGATTTTGGGTAATTCCAACCCAAACATGTCCAAACCAGGTTCTTGAAACATTACAAACATTTCAAAATAAAAGCTTCATAACTGCTTAATAACAACTTAATACATAAGAGCTCCATAACAACATAATACAAGTGTCGGACACAATACATAAGGAAACTACAAGTTCAAAATATCATCACAACTTCAACTTTTCATTGAGATAACTCCTTACAAATGTCATTCCAACTCTTATATGTCTTATCACTTCCATTGCCACATATTAAGAATGACAATGGTTATGGGTGTTCATGGGTGCGGGTCGACCCGCAAACCCGCCTACCCAAACCGAACCAACCCACTAATTACCCAGACCCATTCATTTACGGGTATACCCGACCCAACCCGTAACAACCCGTATAGATTTGGTTCGGGTATTGGGTTTTAGTTTCTAAACCCATGAACCCGTTGACCCAACCCGTTGACGTGGCATAATTAATTATTATTATTATTATTATATTATTATTTATAAATTTTAAAGTTGCTATAACTTTGTAAATTGTAACGTACACAAAGATCTTTTGCACTTTCCTTCCGGTTTCCAATCACACATTAAATTATTATTATTATTATAATTAAACATTATTATTAATATTAATCATGCTTGCTTTCACTGCTGGTGCTGGAATCTTTTATAGTTGCTGTTAGATTTTGGTGCTATTAGACCAATATTGGACCAATACATCTATGTCATTTTAAGACTAAGTGATGTTTATTTGCTTTTGAATTATTTAGAATTTATGAATTTTATGGAAATGATATTTTATGGAATTTTATATATTATTAAGTGTTAATATATATGATAGTTTACGGACCTACTTTTAAGCATGTGCTAGAAAAGGTAACATTTGAGTATCAAAACAACTAATATATACTGTATATTATTATATATTTGTTTTACATATGTTGATATATATTTGTAATGGATAACATTTGAGTATCAAAATAACTAATAAATTTTTATAAATTAAGGTATATTAATGAAAATATATAAATAATTAATGGTGTATATGTATCTTAATATTTTTTATGACAAAGAAAATACATTTCAAAATTTTAATTGTTATATTTTTAATTATTCTATTTTATATGTAGGATTTGTCTTCACTACGTAAATAATTTAATTGTTTGAAATATGCAAAATTATATTGAATTGTGTTATAGATTTTTTAAATTGAAAATAATAATTATTATATACACAACCCGTGGACCCAACCCTACCCAACCCGTAAATATCCGGGTTGATTCGGGTCGGTTTTTAAAGTAGAATTACGGGTTTGATGATAAACCCAACCCATTGAAAGTTAAACGGGTTGGGTAACGGGTTAAGGCGAACCCGGTCCAACCCAACCCGCGTACACCCCTAACAATGGTGATGACGATGAACAACCTTTAAGGATGACAACGACGATGAACGTTTGTGTGAGCGTGAAGAGGGAGAACCTTAGTTTTTTTTACTTAAGTCATAGTTTTTTAAATTGATTTATAAAAATGAATTATTTTTATAACGTACTTGAAAGCTTGAGATTTGCTAAGTCTGATTTAATTTTTTTTAGTTTCCGTTAAAGCAATCAGATGGAAGAGATTAAAAATATGAGTGAAAAATTTTATGAGAACCATTATTCAAATTTCTTTTTGTAGGAAATAAAATTGAAATGAGTTATTGATAAGATCGAAAAACATATTTAATCTTATTTTTATTAACAAATTTTTTAAAATGAAAATTATAAAACAAATTTAAATAAAAAACTAATTTATAATTCATCATAAACAATTATTTATATATTTCCTCTTTTTTCTAAATATTATTTTAAATGATAAAAATAAAAAGTTATTTTGAATAATTTTTTTATTTAGAAATATTTTAATTTTTATTGGATAAAATTAAAATTAATTTGAGGATTGAATAATGAATTTTCTATACTCCGTGAAATAAGCAACTCATAAGTTAGACAATGACAAAATCCACATGTATGTAAACCCAAATGGTCTATTCCTTCTATTCTAAATTCTAAATTATTTTATTAGAAATATTTATTTCAAATTATAAATTATTTTATATTTTCAATATAATATTAATGACACTTTATCTAATATACTCTTAAATATTTATTATTATTTATTTATTTTATTTTTTATTCTAAATTATAAATTATTTATTAAAAATATTTATCTTAAATTATAAATTATTTTATATTTTGGCAAAATATCCTTCTTAGTCCCTTAACTATACCTCGGGGTTCATTTTGGTCCCTTAACTTTAAAAAGTTCCATATTGATCCCTTAACTCTTCAAATGTTCCATATTAGTCCTTTTTGACCTAATAGCGACGAATTTAGCGACGATTTTTTGATTTTTTTCCGTCGCTAATAGGTCAAAAAGGACTAATATGGAACGTTTGAAGAGTTAAGAGATCAATATGGAACTTTTTAAAGTTAAGGGATCAAAATGAACCCTAAGGTATAGTTAAGGGACCAAAAATGATATTTTGCCTTATATTTTCAATATAATATTAATGACTACTCTTAAATATTTATTATTATCTATTCATTTAACTTTTTTAATTTCTCTCATGTATATGTTTATGAGATATAATACTATAAAATAATATATAATTTACTTTTTTTTATAAAATAATAATTAATTTTGTTAATTAACGTAAAATATCCAAAATATTTTATAATTATAACAGAGGAAGTATAAGACAATCTTAAGTGTCATTGGAATACATGATCTTTTAGACTTTGGAACATACCTATATGGATATGTGCACAAACTTTGTCGAATAAGTAAATCATTTATTGAAAATAATTTCGAATTCTAAAATTAACCTTTTAAATTTATAACCATTAGTTCAAAATAGTAATTTCATTTTTTTTTGGGTAATCACAACAATTATTTTAAAATATATATTAGTTAAAATCACTTTGTTTCAATTAGAAGCCTTTGGAAAGTTCAAATGGGTCTAATAGTAATAATTGATTTTTCAAAACATACTAGTATAGGATAGTAGAACTAAAAACAAAAAGAACACACTAAACTAGGCTATAAGGGTACCTTTGTCCAAGTACATTTACGTGTTCCAAGAAAGTGGAGTCAACACTATTCTGCAAGTATAACGTTCCCAACTGACATAAACCAAGTCACCAAGAAATCTCAAAAGTACCCTGCAAATTCAAACGTTAATCAAACGAGAATGAGTTCAAATCAAACTTCAGAAACCAGATGAACACCAACAAGACAACAACAATGTCTCCCCTCTCAACCACACTCTTCCCTCTTCTCTTCTGTCTCCTCTTATCACCAGTCTCATCTCAAGATGATTCACACCCTTGGCCAGGCTTCATCTACACAAGAACCGGAGGAAGATGCAGTGCACAGTTTTGGAGCGGTAGACAAGAAACATGGCCGAGAATGGTACCAGAGACATCAACGGTATCGAATGTGTTTGGATGGAGAGTGTATAAAAGATACAGATCGGATCTTACGTTACTTGAAGCAACGAGTAGGGACGATGAAGTGGAGAACCCTTTTGGAGCGTTGTTGAAAGAGGGAACAGCTGCACTGATAAACTCGTATGCGAGAGAAGGTTTTCCGTTTAGGTCATGGCAGGTTAAGACTTTGGTTATGCAAGGTTTTGTTTCTGAGGTTGCTGCTGCTTCTCAAGCCAAACGTTTCTCTTTGGCTAACCATGCTTGCTCCTGAGTCAATGTAATATATTCATATTCACTTTCTGTTTTTTTGTTTTCTTTGTTGTTCTTTTTTTAGTATTGGAAATGGAAATCACTACTTTGTGATGTTGTTTTGGAAAGATGGTGTTATGAAAATTAGTAATGGTTTTTTTGAATTACTTCTTGTTTCACTTTTCTCTGTTAATCTTTCATTTTCTATGGTTTTGGATCAGCAAAATCCTGCAATCACTGGGTATTGTATTCGTAGTTTGTCTATCAAGACCTGTATAGCTTGATTTAAGATCAGTATTTGAATGTATATAATAAAGGTAAATATGTATTTTCTGATCCATCCGATCTAGATCAGACAATACAGGGTGTGTTGATCGGTACGTGTTGCCAATGTTGGAGGAATCTAGGCTTGATAACAAATTAGTATTGAGTCAATTAATAATTGATTTAAGAGTATTGGTCATTGTGTTCTAGAGGAGTCTAGTGTTATTTAGTGGCAGTATTGTGGATGGTGTTGCGGCTGGCGTGTATTTCTTGAATTCACTGGAGTTCTTTTTAGGTGTTTTTGTGCTTGCTGCCTGTTTTATGCGGAATTTTTTTTATCTTTGCCATTTTTTTAGGGACTTATTTCTAAAATGTCATATTTTTTAACAAATATACTAAAATGCCATCGTTTCAAAAAATTATTTTTTTGGTACAAAGGTGTCGTCCATTCAATGAGCGGAACTGTCTTAATTAAAACGTAAAAAACAAAATTTAGATTGAACACTGCCGCCCATTGAAAGGGCGGCACTCCAAAAAATTTAGACATTGCCGCCCATTGAAAGGGCGGCACCCATGTGCCAATAATTTCAGCTTTTTTAAAAATGTGGCATTTTAGAATTTTATTTGAAAAATGTGGCATTTTAGAAATAACGGTCTAAAAAGATGGCAGTACTGTGCAAAATTCGTTTTATGCGGTGGTTGATTTCCTGCTAGATTGTTGCAGCGGCTTTAGTAGTGTTCTGGTGGATTAAGTTTTGGGTTTACACTCTCTCGTCCTAAATTATAAGACATTTTAGTTGATTTATACAAATTAAAAAATATAATTATTTTTTTATGGAAAAGTGAAATAATTCATGATTTTACAAAACTACTTTTCATTAATAATATTGGAAAATAGTAAAAGAATGAGAAGAAGAAAGACAAATAAATAATAAAGAATATATTAGAAAAAAATTATTAATGATATATTGAAATTTTAAAATAACTTATAATTTGGAATAAATATATTTTGTAAAATAATTTATAATTTAAGACAAAGATAGTATTATTTTTGAGTTTGGCGGCCTTCTTTAGAGATTTGTATTGTACTATGCTGATTTTGTTTGTACTGGCATATCTTATGCCTTATTATCAATAAATCTTTTTGTTTTTGTTAAAAAAAAAAAAAAGACAGTTAGAACAATGAAATAACAAAATTTGCATTAATTTTATTGAGCAGCAAGGGACGATTCTTATAAAGCACGTGATTTAACCTAGTCCGGACAAGCTTTTAAGAATTTTAAAACAAACTCTCTTCCTTCTTATCAAGCTATTTCCAATAACAAGTGGAGTAAGCCATCAATATGGAAATTTAAATATAACATGGGTGTTTTCCTTTCGCTTTTGTATTAGTTAAAATTAAGTGGTTCTGGTTGAAAATGTAGTATGTGTGAGTAGTGTGGATAATAGTCCCACATAAATTGAAAATATGGAGATTTGAACATTTATAAGTAAGAGAGCATACCCACCTATCACCTTAAAGTTTTGGGTGAACATGTGGTGTGTCTCTCACAAAGGTGTTGTTAAAAAAGAAAGTTTCACAATGTTCAATACTCCATAGTAAAAAACACTCAAAACACATGGTATCAGAGTCTGGTTGCGCCACTGATCTGACCTGATTAGGAGGGGATCACGGGCTGGCCACACGCTGTTGGACTGCTATCTGTTCACCGGTGATGAGGAGGAGAAGGGGGTGTACCTGCGAGACACTCCGATGCCAAAGTAAGGGATTGGGCAGAGTGAGAGCAAAGTACATAAAGGGAAATATGTGAATTACCTGACCCTCTTGTGAAATAGGGTATTTATAGAGAGACCACAGCGCTGGGCCAACGGTCATTTGAGATGGGCTGGATGACCAGACCCAACCCTAATGACTGCTAGGGCTTACGTGGCGTGGTGAAGACCGGAACGTGGTCTTCACCCTAGTTCAACTGCTCCGTGAACTCCGGAAAGCGGGTTGACCTGCTCTTTCGGAGGTGGGCAGTTGATGGATGACGTGTCCCCGCGGAGGGGAGCACGTGGAGAACGTGCGCCGGGCACGTTGTTCTCCCCGCGGAGGGGAGCATACGAGAGCGGGGGAGATACATCGTCCTGCTCGTTGACGGGGGATTCTGCCCGTGGAGGGTTGTTCTGTCCGGCTAGGGGGAACGCCGAGGACGCTTAGAAGCGCGTCATCTTGCTTGACGGGGAGCATGCCCCGCCCGTCCTGTGGGATGGCGTGTGCCCGGCCAGGCTACTCCACTCATTGGGCCTTGTGCGCTATTGGGCTAGGCCACGAGGCTGGGCCCAGGCCAGAACAGGACCAGTACAACTACGCTTTCTGTTGGGTTACAATTCATAATAGAGTTATTCCTTATTTATATATTTGGTTGGTTTTCTTGCTCTCTAAGTAAAGAAAAAATAGGCACAAAATACCTAATTCTACTAACACTACAAAATTAGGTTTAAGAGAAAACTCATGTCGAGGCTAACTTCTCCGACACTTCAATAACAAAACAATTTCGACACACACACACACACTAGGCTATTCGACAACTTTCTTGTCTCCATTCATTGTGTCTAAGCTATCTATATTCAGCATAGACCTTAACTTCTTGAACACTTCGACCTGCACTCCTTTCGTCATGATGTCTGCAATCTAATTCCTAGTTCTGCAGTGCTCCAAGTTCATCTTCTCATCTGCTACCTGTTCTCAAAGATAATGAAATCTTATTTCGATGTTCTTGTTTCGTCCATATGCTATCAGATTCTTCGTCAGATTAATAGCAAACACGATTTCGATCTTCATGGTAATTTCTCCATGATTCTTTCATATAATCTCTTCGATCAGATTCACCATCCATGTTGCTTAACATGCACAAAAAGGTTATCGTGTTTTCTGCACGTGGTGTTACTTCTTCTTTCACAAGATCCCAAAGATCTTGATAACAGAAAATCACCTTCATCTGTTTGCACCAATTCTCATAATTTTGACTCTTCAGAATTGGGAGACTTGTCAGAAAATGTCTGTTCGGATGATTCATCCCCATTGTATTTTGCTTCCCACGAATCGCCCAACCAGTGCTCTAGATACCAGATGTTAGAATTAAACCCAAGACTTTGAGTAATTATGAATCAATCTTGATGAACAAGATTCAATCAACAGATTGAATTCTCTCTTGTTCTTCACCCTTCACTCGAGTGAATCAACCATCCTTGGTTGCAAGATTGTATTGTTGCACAATGGTGATGAAAACAAGAAAAAAAAATTGAATTTAGGGAGGAAAGAAAGTTAGGGATTCAATATAAAATAGGGGAAGAAAAAGAATTTTTGCAGAGTAACTCTCTGCTCTCAAACTGAGAAAAATATTCTTCAACTGTGCAACTGCACTTTCTGTTGTGTGTTACAATTCATAACAAGGTTACTCCCTATTTATAGATTTGGTTTTCTTGCTCCCTAAGTAAAGCAAAAAAAGGCTCAAAATACCTAATTCTGCCAACACTACAAAATTAGGTTTAAGACAAAACTCATGTTGAGTCTAACTCCTCCGACACTTCAATAACAAACAATTTTGACACACACACTAGGCTATTCGACAACTTTCTTGTCCCTGTCGAGCAACCTGCTTCGACACAAGGAATTACAATTAAATAAAAAGAGCTTTCACTTGAGGGGGAGCATTGTGGACTCACACTTGAAGAAGAGCGTTGAGAATGTAGCAAGTGTGAGTAGTGTGGTAATAGTTTCACATTGGTTTGAAATGTGGAGACTTAAACCTTTATAAGTGAGAAAACTCATCCACATATCATCTTAAGGTTTTGGAAGAATATGTGGTATGTTTCTCACAGAGGTGTTGTTAAATAAAAAAAGTCTCACAATGTTCAATGCTCCCTAGTGAAAGACTTCCCCAACAATTCTCTTTTATTAGCAATGTGTGAATGGACTAACACTACAAGAAACATTGCATTTTCCCAAATGATTTTCACGTCACTAACCCAAAAAACACTTCACTAAGCAACATTTGCGACGTGGGTAAAACACGTCGGAAAAGCAATGGTGGGAACATTTTGCCATGTGAAAAACACGTCACTAAGTTGTGACATAGGAACCACGTCGCAAATAACCAAAATAATAGAAAATGTTCCCACGTAAATATCACGTCACTAATTAGTGACTTGGTTTTCATGCCACAATTGAAAATATGTTTTATATTAGTGACATGGGTTACACTTCACTATAAAATTTAATAATAAAAAAAATAAATATTAACTGAAAACAACTATAAAATTAAAATAAATATTAAATATTAACTATAAATATTAAATATTAACTATAAAATATAAATTATGTTTAAATCTATTTTTTCTATTTTTTAAATCTATTTTAAATTATGTAAATTATGTTTACTAAAATATACTACATATTCTCAAAATATAATATTCTAAAATATAATATATAATTTGTTTATTAAAAATAACACATTTAAAATACAATATATATTTATTATTTTTAAAAATTTATTTTTTCTAAAATAATATAAATTATGTTTACTAAAATATACAACATATTCTCAAAATATAATATTCTAAAATATAATATATAATTTGTTTATTAAAAATAACACATTTAAAATATAATATATATTCATTATTTTTAAAAATCTCTTTTTTCTAAAATAATATATATTATGTTTACTAAAATATAATAAGTATTCTATAATATAATATAATATTCTATAA